ACAGTGCTACCAACTGTGCGACCTTGCAGCCCACTACAATTTATATTTAGATTTAATTTTTAGTTCAATCTTTGCACATGCATAACTCCGAGACTCACTGAAAAGTTTAGGTCAATTTTATAATTTAATATTTTTATTGTTAGATTTTTTTTCTTTATATTTTATTCAGCTGTGTATTTTTTTGTTTAAAAAATAGCAACTGTTTTATTTAGTTATTTTGCATGTGTAGGATTTATTATTTTATTTATTTGAATTAGTTTTCTTTGTCTAATTTCACATTAGTTTTATTGTAAAGTCCTTTGTAACTTTATCAAATGGTGCTCTGTAATTAAAGTTACTATTATTGTTATTAATAATAATTTTTACATTTAAAAAGATCCCGTGACTTTACGATGTTACACATTTCCACATAGAAATACAAGAAAAACACACAACAAATATGGACATCACAACATGTTTATTGCAAAGCTTGTTATAAAAAAATAACATTTCAGCTAAAAAGTCTCACATCCTCGAGATCACAAGCTTCATGTTTCTGCTCAATAGAATATTACAACAAATCAGATACCAGCAACGTTACACATTCATCAAATGGTATTTGGGACTTAAAAAATCCTGCAACCCAGAGAAAGCTTATGCATCTCCTTTCAGTAGAAAACCCTGCAGCCTTGTTAGTTTTATTTACTGCCAGCAGCCTTCACAGCCCTTGTACATGGTTGGTTTTACACAACGAGCTGCAACCAATAATTGATAAATTATCAACTGTTGCATTAATTGCCAACTATTTTGGTTATAAATTCATCAATGTGAGTACTTTCTTTTTTTTTTTAGGGAAATAAGCTTCAATGTCTGATTCCAGCTTCTTTGACGTCAGCACTCTGAGTATCTTGGGCTTGTGAACGAAGCGCCACATTTGAGGACGACATCTTATACTTTGGAAAAATAATCGACAAAATAATCAACAATAAAAATTAATCATTTGTTGCAGCCTCAGCGTCCAACTGCTCATATAGCTAAAATATAATTCCTCGCATACGTAACTCTACTGTCCGTAAACACTCTGCAGTCCAAATACTCTGGTAAAGCTTCATAAAACATTTTTGGTACAAGCTTAAAAATATGTGCCTGAATAGCTGCTTGCATCACATGCAAAAATATTAATGAGAATTTTTTTTAAAACTTTGTGTGCATGCTTAACAAGTCAATTTACAGAAAAATATTCAAAATACAAAGTAGAAAAATGGCAGCTGCAAAGGCAAGTTACACACAGTGAGCTATTAGTGCAGATACACCTCTGTGTATTTGAAATATGCCAAGCATCTATGTGATCCGTGTGGATTTGTCAGCAGACCTTGAGTTTGTCCTTGTTGAGACTAAGGCTCTCCAGGTAGCGCTGCACCTTCGTCAGTATCAGGTAAAGGTGGCTGTCCGGGAACGAACTGTGACCGGTCTGTACTCCTGGTCTGGCCGGCACAGGACAGTTCATAGTGAGGGCGAGGAAGCGCACCTTTCCTTCCAAGCTGGAGACGTCAGTCTGGATCTGGCTGAGGAGCTCTGAGCCGGAGCTCTGCAGGTCGTTATCCAAAAGTCCGAGGTCACGGGTGATATCAGTCAGTCCGACAATGGGAGGGGTGGTAACTTCTATCTGTGGAGCCACTGGCAGCTGAGGAAAAAAAAAACAAAAAAACACGCCATTGAAGTGGATAAAAAAAAACCCCAAAAAACTTGCAACTCAAGCAGTGTGCATACCTTTGTCCTTAGTGTCTTAATGTGGATGAGGGTTGTCTGAGCAATGCTTATTATGTTGTTCAAGTGTCTCGTAATGTTTTCCCTGGTGGGAAGACTTGCACACTCTGGAGGTGCCATGAGAGCAACGCAAAGTAGAGCCAGAAGGATGTACATTCTAACCAAATAGATGAAAAAGAAGAATGAATGACCATAAATCATGCACAATCACGGATATATTCAAACTTTTTTTTAGCAGTTATCCATCTTAATCTCTACATGTGTTTTCTTTGCACCATACCTTGTGTTTGTCGACTTGTGGCTTTCCCTCTGGAACACTGAACGACAGAGAGATGACACATACATCTTTGCAGGTTGCCATCATTTAAATAGTCTGCTCTGAACTTGAGACTTGCCGGGATCCATTCCCCTCCTCTCTCCTCCTCCTCCCCCCCCTCCGGATCAAACCTGAGCCTGACCCTTACAGGTCAACTCCTCAACATGCTCTGATTAGGGAAGAAATCCACACAAAAGACAAATCCCACTGACTCAGACGTTGGGAGCTCACGCACATCTCATGTTCATAGTTCATTTTAAGATGATTATAGATGACACTGATGTAAGCCTGATGTTACATTTGAATCGTTTAAGTAGTGGAAAGATGTGTGGGTAGAGCTGGCACCATGAAGTGCAAACCCTCTAATACCCGTGTATACGACCGAATAAAAACATGATAAGGTGGAGAAGAATAGAACACACTGTATGTATGTAATCGCCATTTGATACACGAGTACTGTGATATTTCGTGAGAAAATGACATCTTGTAATTCAAAAAGAACGGAGGTGAGTCACGTTTTAAACAGTTCTCTGTAGGTTTCCTTTTGGAAACACCCATGAAATAAAGAAGACATCTTGTTGTTGGTGGTGGAACAAGGTGCTTATGACGTTTTAAACCGGTTTTGAAGGCAAACCAAAAATGGAAACACAATAACGTCAAACGCACTTCATTAACCGTGGTGGTTTCCGGAGGTGTTTTTTTCAAATCTTGACCGAGCAACTCATTTTCCTACTGCTGAGCTTCACATATGTCACAGTGTGTGTAATTGCTGTTGTGTGGAAGAGAGTTGTGTGCAGCAGGAATGTGTCTGAAGTCATGGCTCCGTGTTGTGACCTGCAGAATCTCGCATTCTTACCTTAAAGGCCGAGTCCTGCAGGGATGCATTTTGTCCTCTGCAAATGCACCAACTGCTCATGTGGCAGAGAAACAAATGGGAGGAGAGACTGTATGAGGAGATTCTTTGTCATTTACACCAATAAAATTCATCACTAAAAGGCTTGTGGTTGCAGTAGTCACTACCAGATCGAAGGCGCTTTGATTTGTACATAGTTTCTGTCGGCGCCGCAGTGGGAAGCTCAGAATTCTCACATTGCAGCCCAGTGTGTAGTCAGTCACAGCCAGCCTCTCAGAAACATCCATAGGGGCCCCATTTGTTTTTCCATGTTCAACGTGAGAGGCAATGTCACTGTCTACAAAGCAGAGCGATGCATAGGCCGTCTATTGTAGGATATATAGGGCTGCGTGCACGTACGCTTTCAAAGTCGATCATGTGGAAACCATGAAGCGGCCTTTATATCACCACAGGCCATTGTCAGTGTCACAAGTAAGAGGGCAACACAACTACTACTTCTTCAGAGAAAACAGTTACAGGGACACACTAAAAGCAGTCTCTGGCTTTAATTTAGACTCACTTTGTCTTTACAAAGTAGTGCCAAATGAACAGTCTCCTAACAATTGCTACTGTTGCGTAACACTCGAGTGTTTAGCTACCAACTCAGTTAAAGGCCCCCTCCAGTGAAAATGTGTTAGCATGTCAGTATGGGGGCTGGAAGGTGGCTTGGTGGTTAGCATTATTGCCTCGCAGCAAGAAGGTCGCCGGTTCGTGTCCCAGTGAGGATACCCGG